GTTTGTAGAAAAAATAGTGCATGATATTCGTCCGCCTGCAGTGTCGTGTCCCAAACTTCCCTTTTCACAAAATAAAATGTCACTTTTAGCACTTATGCCATAAATAACTATTTTGCAAAATTTGCACTTTTTTAAAGTTTTCGATTCAGACATTGGAAAACAACTCAAACGACTCAAACCAATCACCTGCCTATAAACTCAATATGCCAAACATAGGCAGTCAGCCATGCGAAAAATTGTTCAGAATGGCCAGATCTATGACTTCAACGTTTTCCACAGTCATCAATTTCAGCATCAAAAGTTTTATGAAACAACTAGATAGAATTCGAACAATAAATGATATTGTATCTGATATACCTACATGAAGTCTTCTGTTTTCCCTATTTAAGTTCCAAGCAATCTGCTATTGTAACCGCAGAAGAAATTTGGCCCATAAACGTAGAATCATGTGTAAATGCAGTTCTCAATGATACTGTCATATTAGGAATTACTGCTGATAAAAATGACTGCATTAATTTAGATTTGTCACTGATAATCGTAGACAAAGACATAGAGTGTGTCGATTCCAACGAAATTGAAATAGGCGAACTTGAAAACCAAGTTGGAAACCTTAGTGATGACACTATGGCTCAACAAAACACGAGAGGAAACATTATTCCACCTGAAGGGGAAATACTCGGGGAAATAGACTCATTGGATTTGAAAGATTTCTCCAATAAATTTACCGAAGCTGATATAACAGCAAAATCTCCTTATGTTAGGGTGAAGCGAGGGGTGAAGCTGAAGGAAAAATATGGTATAATTTAAAAGTCCTCATTTTGTTGACTTCTAGATGGGTCCTCGGGTAAAATTAGGACTGACAGAATCCGAAGAATTTATTCTAGCAATAAAACTCTGCTCAAATCTAGTCCAGCGAGCAGCACCAGAAAACCTAGACTTACAAGGAACCCTAAAAAAAAATTGAAGAGATAAAGAGAAAGAAAATTGAAAATTTTGTAGGGACAGAATTTACATCTACATTCGAGTCTACATCTGAGGACGAAGTACAAATAAAGCATTTAGTTGACGATTCTTCAGACGGCGAATTGCATTTAAAAACCTCAAGTAAAGAAGATACTTCAAATGGACTCATCTCAGAAATTATAATGGAGAAATATTATACTGTCGCCTATAAACATCAATGATATAATGTATATTAGTAGATGTATTGGAATAGAGAACAACAAATAACGACTCAAATTTTCAAAATCTGGGCTAGATACTTTTACTTGGACTGAGGCTGACGCTGACGACATTGCTGAAGTCGATAAAGCATACATATTTCATGGTCCTATTGGGTTATGGATTGTAGATTGTAAATCCACAGTGCCATTGAGTTATTAGGTAACAATTATTATTCCTTCATATTCGAGTTTGTATTATCCGATGTAAGTGACAATGAACCTAGATTATGGGGGACGCCAAGGGTTTGCATTAGGTCCTATTTTATTTTTATTGTATATAAATGACCTATAATCTATAATGGGATTTCTTGCAATATTTGCCGACGACACGACATTACTCTGGAAACTCAAGAATGCTGATATTCTTGCAAGTATTATTGAGAGTGATTTGGTAAAAATTGAGGACTGGCGCGACGCCAATCGACTAGTTTTTACCATTTCTAAAACAAATATTTTACCTTTCAAATGCTCTCTTGAAAATTGAATCGGTCGTAAAATTCCTGGGCATTCACATCGATTCAAAGCTGAAATTTAATACACATATTGAATTTTTGAAGAAAAAACTATCACAGGGTTGATATATAGTGAAAAACATTGAGCAAGAACTTGGAAAGCAGGCAGCAAAACTCGCATATCATGCGATAATAGAATCCTACATAAGATATGGCATTTCGTTTTGGGGTTACTCCACTCAGACTCCTGTGCATGCAGTTTTTGTCCTGCAAAAACGTGCAATCAGGAGCTTTTGTCGAGTTGGCTGAAGGAAAAGCTGTAGACCTCTCTTTACCCAGGAGAAAATTATCACGGTTCCATGCATCTTTATTTTGGAAACAGCATGCCTTATCTTTAAAAAATGAAGAAATCAAAAAATGCAATCAGATTATGAATTAATACGACGGTCGAAATTTGATCGTGGCGCCATCCAAGACAAAGATTCAACACTAAACAGCAATTTTTGCTGTAATTTAGTGATTGACTATCTAATCGGCCGCTGATGCTGATGAGACCTGATAGGTCGAAACGCGTCTATGGATGGAAAAGCAGAGAAAATCAATCCAAAATTTTCTCATTATGAATTAAGACATAACAGACTACCATTGCCTATTACAAAGCTATCATTAACGAGAAATTCTATTATATACGAAAGTATTAAAATATTTAATGATCTTCCTGAAAATATAAAATCCATTGAAAAATATACATAAGTCTTTTCATAAAGTTCTTAAAAAAAATTTGGTATGTAACAAAAGCTTACTACAGTATCCAGGAGTTTTACGGTTTGTGGTAGACTGTGATTTTATTCTGTTTTATTTTGTTTTGCTTTTTATTTATATTTTAATAACTTTTAATTTTGTGTTTTTAGTTGGTCCAGTTTGAAACTGTAACTAGGCTTATAGACAAGAGTCATTTTTTTTTTGTCTGGCATTTTGAGGGCTGAATGTGGCTAGTTAGCTGATGAGAATAGGGGTGCTTTTAATGCCTGCCATCCGTTCGAAAATTTGGAGAACAAAAAATATGATTTACATGAAGAATTTTTTTTCAATGACCTCAAATTTCCTGGCTTTTAGATAAAAGATTGACATTGATAATTAATTCACCCATAAAAAATACCAGATGCTTTTCAATAGCTGAAAAAGTGAGGATGAGGGTCAACTTCCAAGAGAAAAAAAAAGTACCTTCCGCGTTTACTTTTTGTCTGGCAATCGAGAGAATAAAAGGTTTTGTTGTGAAAATAACACTGAAAAATCGCCAGACGGTAATCACGGTTCGAAATCGAGTTTACCGGTGAAACATTCTGTGGACATTTCGAACAGGTGGCAGGCATTAAAACCACTTATATTCTCATCAGCTAACTTGCCACATTCAGCCCTCAAAATGCCAGACAGAAAAAAATGACTCCACTAAACAGGCCCTATCTCAGGGTCTATTACCTACTCCTAATCTGTGATATATTTGTTTTGATATCTGTAATTGTAACCTTTTAACTTTATTATTATATTATTTCTGTGGTTTGTTTTATCGGTCTGTGTTTTATTTCAGTGTTATGCCTATTTTACATTTACTATTATCTTTTTTTTATAATGTTTTTACACTTCACATTTTATACACTTATTTAATTTTTACTAGTGTGTATCTATTTATTTAATACGTGTGAATAGGATAAAGATTACTTATTTTGTTTTGTCAATGGATTGTTTGTAATTTGTGATAATTAAGCTTATTTGAATTGAATTGAATTGAGAGTATAATAAAATTTATAAAACGATTGAACTCCTTCATTTGCTATACCGCTACCAAATTATCCATTATGTTTACTTCGATGTTTACTGTGTTCTTTTAAAAACAGCATATGTTCTGTCAGTAGTACTTAGTGACATGCGCTCCTTTGAGTCCTTTGTAGAGCGTTGTACATATTGCCTTGCAATCGCATGTATTTCTATGTATTATCATGTATTCCTATGTATTTTCATGCTGTTTTCCCTTGTAGTCATATGAGTTCATATGTATTTCTATGTAGTCTTGTATTCTTATGCATTCCTTTGTACTCCATGTATTCAGTGTACAAATTTTGCTGGCGGTTTACCCCTCGCTTTTTGCTCCACAACTCGAAAATGTATTTAGTGCAGATTTTTTATGCTAGGGGTTTGAAAAAATTCCATAGTCAATTTGCGTCACTATGGATTTTTATGAAGCTTGTGTCTCTGGCATCATACAGGGTTTGGAAGAAATAGTGTACCGGACTTCGAGGGGTGATACTACATATGAAAATAAGAGAAAAAGTTCCTATGAACATATGCCCTAAGATGCTTCCTGAAGAAGTTACAGCCCTTCAAACGGTAGATGAAAATATGTAATAGATTTTATTTTTTTTTCGAGAACAGTGGCAAACTATTTTCCTTGAAAATTAGTATTCTCGCATACATTCCGATGCCAAAGCGAATGGTGAGTAAAAAAAGTCGCAACAGTTCTGAAAGGGTAGTTTCCATAAGGGTAGAGGGTAGTTACTCACAAAAAAAAAATCATTAGGACATATGTTTATAGGAACTTTTTTTCTTATTTTCATATGTAGTATCACCCCTCGAAGTCTGGTACACTAATTTTTTTACACCCTATATAAGATCGCCCCATGTGAGTAATACCCTCGATAATGCGCCTTAAAGCCGGGCGGCCACTGCGAGCGGAACGAAACTAAGCTAAGCGAAGATAAGTTTTCAGTAAATTAGTTACCATACTCTCAAATATATACCCTCGGCCATTTTAGCTAAACTAAGCGAAGATTTGTCAACGAAAATTAAAGTCTCAGTTTCGTTTCGTTCGACTTAGCTCGAGTCAGATTCGAACGAAGTTTTTCGCTGGGAATTTATTATTTATGTACTTTCCACTGTGTTTGCACATAAAAAGTATGATTCTACAGATGCTGACTTTGAATACAGATCCATTTTTGTTGCAACAGGACTCATTACTAACTTTTTAAATAAATGTATAGGTCTTTCCGCATAAAAATACAGCTGAGAACTAAACCAAAAACATTTCCAGTGGCCGCTCAAACTTAGTTAAGTTTAGTTACCGTTAGCTTCGTCTAGCACAGCTTAGTTTCGTTTCGCTCGCGGTGGCCGCCTACCTTTATGTTGAGTGGATGTGCGATTTTTTTCTTTATGATTATATATCTGCGTTAACCAAAAATTCGTTGAAGAAAGAATGTTGGGGCTTGGTTTAGAGAAAACCCAATAGCAGATTCCATGCAATAGGGCTGACGTTCAATTTTTTTTTTTTAAGATTTTTAAATGAAATGATAAAGCTGGTGTCTCCAAAATATCTGGGATCTAGAACACCCCTTTCTGTGAAACAAAGAATTCTGCAGCTCCTTTATTTATGGACTTTAGATTATCCTAAGGAAGTGAAAATTAAAGAAGCTTTTGATATGTTAAGGAAACAAGGGGTTATTCGGGAAATACCCAATCCCAATATTCCACAAGAGGCTTTGGGTAGGTATTTATATTAGTTAATTGATTCACCCTAATAATTCATGGTAATTTTTTCCAATTCATGTACCTATTAGGATTTGAATCAAAGAAAAGAGTTGCCAACTCTATTTTTCAAGATGAAGAAAAGTCAAATATACTAAGAAAGCTATTGCAAAGTAAAGATCCCGAAGACATACAAGCAGCTAATTGGCTTATTAAGAGTATGGTGAAAGAAGTATGATTTTGTTTATAACTTGATACTTGATCATGAAAAAATATCTATTGTAGGATGAAAAAATTGCAGATCTGAAAAGTAAAACCTTGTCAGAACTGGAATCAGTTCAGAATAACATAAAATTATTGAATGAGATGATTGGGTCATTCAAAGATGGAGATACAACAAAAAATGAACTGGATTTGATGGGAGAATTACATGATAATTTAGTGAGATTTAAACCAAATTTGAAGTCCATGACTTCCTCAGATGAGAGTTGGCCAATGGATTTGATAGGTGTGTATCGTTTATCTTTACCTATAATACCTACATTGTCAAGTATGTGACAACTTTGTAATTTTTGAAGAATCTGTGCTGAAAACAATGGATGAAGTGACTGAATGTTTGGGTAGATACAGCCAAGTAGTTTTGGATTGTAAAATTGACAAGTGCAAGAGTAATTTGGCGTCTCTTTTGGAATTGGATCAGCAGGCAATTGGTAGTGGTGCCACTTCTTTAATTCAAATGGATCAATTTAGAGAACCAAAAAGTAGCATAGATGATTGTTCTTGCAGGTAAGTCTCTTGATCAAAAAAGTAAGTTGCGTATATTGTTGAACAACTGTTAGTTCAAAATAATGTCAACATTACACTTACAAATAAGACATATTATCTGTTCTACCAGTTTTATCGGAATGCCTACTTTGAATTTGATGATTCAGTTTATATTACCAACAAAGGTTTAATAATGAGACATCCTTGGAGGGGCGACACTGCCTAGCTTTCTTAGCCGATCGCAGAGCTTTCGCTCATTCATTACCACGCCTAAACGGCAACAGATATTTTGACGAAAGAAAAATTTGGTTATAGATAAATGAACATACCAGTGGAGACCAAGCCGCTTTTTGAGAAAAAAAAATTTTTGCAATGAAAAATAGCACCTGAAAATGACAAATTTTTAATCATTTTCGTACGCTGATATTCGGGAGTTAGAAAAAGTTATTGGAAAAAGGCGTTTGTGCGTAACTAAAATGACCCTTCAACTACAATATATCCAAAATTCAACTTTCTAGCTATGAGCAGTTGAGCACTAAGCCTCAGTAACAGCTTATAGCACTCTTTTATGTAATTTCGATATAAATCTTAATGTTATAGTGACCAATTTGATATATTTTGAGTTAAGGATTGTGGGTTTATAGGTCGAAGTTGAAAGAAACCAATTATTTCTTTGCCGACGTTTCGGATTTATTCAATCCATCTTCAGGGCTCTATAAATAAGGATAAAGCACAATGTTGGTACGATAGGTACAAAGCAAGTAAAAAGTTCATGTGCGATGACACGAGAAAAAGTATAATAAAAATGTGCCGCGTATGCATATGCCATAAGGTTTCCTACTGGAAAAAATATTGAGAAAAAAACCAAAAAAAAAAAAAAATGGAAAAAAGACATAACAGCAGACACACAGATTGTGGTTCCTAAGTAGTTTCACTTTGACGGCACAACGGTGCTGAACAGGCAGCAGTACTTGTTTAAGAAAAATGTAAGTGAGATGATAAAGATTTAAAAATTTCCGTTAATTTCAGACGTGACACAGAGAATCTGTCATCCTCATATTCCAACCTGATAACAAAATTAATAAGTCTGGTACTCTTAAACCTTCATTATAACCTTTTTTTCAGGAGCTGATTTGCTGATTTGCTTGTTTAGATCTGTAGCCTCAAATACATCGTCTTTCTGTATGGTAGATTGAACACTTTACAATTAAAGTGCTTTGAAAACAGATATTTCAGATATTATTTTTGAATAACTGTTATCACAACTGAACAGGCCCCTATGTTTAAAATTGTTTAATTCAGTGAAAAAGTAATTTATGTCCACCACTCCTCTGCCACAAATAATAGCACTATGTGATGCTTGGCTTTCAACTTTTTTACGTGTAGTAGTAACTATTTCTGTACTCGTATTCAGCTCTTCATTTATTGAAGTTGTACTTCTTAGGCCATCTAGATTATTATCCGAGCCGCTACTGTTGTGGGGGGAATCAGGGTACGATAATGTTAGGTTGGAAATAACGTCGGATTCTACCATTCTAGTACTACTAGGTTCGGCTGTTTGAAACTTTGAGGATTTCCTATGCCCTAAAACGAAAAAAGGAAGGTATACTGTATATATTTTCAATTAGTCAAACTTGTTACTTTATTTTCTCTACAAGGTAGGACCTATTAGATTTGAAACCAGACTCTCTGATTTGTTATTAAAAAAAATCTGATTAGACATTAAAAAATATAGTTCAGTGGTTAAAACATAATATGAGCAATTAGGTATTGTGAAAAAAGTTTAGAAAGAAGAATTTGGAATTTCGTATTTTTCCTACAATCTTCTGTCAATTACTCCTGCATCAAAAAAAAAACTTCAGTATCAATTCGACTTCTTTTAAGTTTTCGGGAAAATGGAAATGTACATTTCCATCCATTCATGAACTTTCAATCATATTTTTGGGCATTGCGAGGGTATTTATAAGGTAAGAAAAATTAGGTACAATCCAATTAGGAATCGTAATACTTTTGTGAAATTTCTACTAATTATTGCATTTTCACTCACCTTATCAATTTAATCTGCTTCTTGAGGCTTTTTCTGAGTTTACAGAGACTAGTATTCCGATATTTTCTTGCCATAATGGAATATAGAAATCCAATGAATATTAAATCAAATCACAGCGTAATGGTAATGACAAATAATAATTAACCGTTCAAAAATGGCTCTAAAGCGCGTACCGTCCGTCCACTAATAATAAATTGTCTAAGCAATATCAACGTCGCTTTCGCCGAGTCTGACCTGTCTCATTTGGAACTTTACGTTCTTTGTTGTCGATAAATTTGATGCTACACAGTGTCGGCCTTAAGTCAATTGCTAGCGGAAACAGCCTTGAAAATAAAATATTTCAATTCAACACCCTTTGGCAAATGAGTTCGTATATTGGCATATATACAGGGTGTCCCAAAAAGATACCGACAAACTTTAAGGGGTAGTAGGGGACATGAAAACAAGCATTTTTGTTTATATAAACATATGTCCGCAAATGAGCCATTTGGGCTGTAGAGCAAAAAAACTGTTTGGTATCTAGTTTTATTCTTCGCAATCATTAAATCACTGTTTACTTATTAATTTTGCTTTAAAAGCAAATAAATTGTGGTTTACGATAATTGTTCAACTCGCGAACTCTTTGGAATATTCCGGGAATAGGTTCTACACGGGTACAACTCGCCAGTTTCCTTGCTATCAGATCTTCCTCATTATGAACAGGTGTTTCGTAGACTAAACTTTTCAGTCAATGACCCGACGGTGTAATCTTTGCATTGAAGTAAATGATCAACATTTTGAACAATTATTTTAAACCATAATTTATTTGATAATAAAGCAAAATTAATAAGTAAACAGTGATGTAATTATTGCGAAGAATAAAAGTATCAAACAGTTTTTTTGCTCTACAGCCGTAATTTTGAATGGCATTCCAATAATTTTTTCGCATTTTTGGTATCTGCGGATCATGATGTGTACGAAAACGTCAAATTTGAACATTTTTGAAGAAATTTTAGAACTCAGGATGAAAATTTATTTTTGAACAGAAAGTGACGGAGCGGTCTTAAAATTGTTATTTTCAACCCACACAATCGTAGAAAAATGCGAGTGCCAAGATGTTATCCTTTGCTTGCTCTCCAAAGGCATCCAAAGTTGAAAAAATCACATTTTGCGTGATAACTCAATGAAATCAGTGAAATCACCCAACTTTCACAACAAGAGTTTTTTACCTTTTTCAAAATAAAACCAACTATGCATTGAAACTTTTCATTTATGTTAGTTTTTGATTATTTTCTTATTATTTTTATATTGCACTACTATAAATGATAAAACTTATTAATGAACCCCTGTATGAAGAACGCTTTCCAAAAGGAGCTGGTGTTTTTTTTTTCTTGACAAGCCATTGACAAGATCTGTAGACTGTGGACAAGATATGTTTATTTGTCATTGTTTGACATCTCGGGAATTTGTAAATACAAAGTTTGAATACAGGGGTTTATTTATAAGTAGTTTTATCAGTTATAGTAATGCATAGTAAAAATATTCGAAAAATAATTAAAAACTGGCATGAATAAAAAGTTTTAATGCATAGTTGCTTTTATTTTGAAAAAGGTAAAAAACATTTGTTATGAAAGTCGGGTGATTTCACTGATTTCATTGAGTTATCACGTAAAATGTGATTTTTTCAGCTTTGGAAGCCTTTGGAGAACAAGCATAGGATAATAACTTGGCACTCGCATTTTTCTATGATTGTGTTGGTTGAAAATAACAATTTTAAGACCGCTCCGTCACTTCCTGTTCAAAAATAAATTATCATCCAGAGTTCTGAATTTTTTTCAAAAATGTTCAAATTTGACGTTTTCGTACGTAAAAATTATTGGGATGCCATTCAAAATTACGGAGTTAGGACCATTTCCGGTCAAATCGGAAGTTACCAAACATTGACACACATGTCAAATGATGACATTTCTCAAACCTACACTCCATACCAAAAATCTTTGCCATCGAAAAAAAAAAAACAGCAAATGCCAGCGCGAAACTGATCTCGTAGACACCCGGTGTGTGGACAATATTCTATGTTGCTTCACAGGTCTCAATTCATTTGTTCATAGACTGGGACACCTTTGTCAAATACAAACTTTATTAACCCGGCATTACACGCGTCAAAAAACTTACGTCATTACACGGGTACGGTCAAATCGACCGCATGCCCACATGTTTATATTAATTATTAGCTTTTTTCGCGGAGATGATCCCAAACGTATCTTGAACGCTAAGGCATGACCTACGCAGGTTTACTTATCAATAGAGACATGAATCTTTCGAATAATACCTGCGTAGGTCATGCCTTAGCGTTCAGGATAAGTTTGGGATCGTCTCCGCGAAAAAAGTGTAAAAGCACTATAATTCCTAGAATTCATAATAATATCAAAGGGAATTATATTATGCAGTACAGTTACCGTATTATCGACAGCCAAAGGTACTCCCAATATCAGAAAATGCGAATTTTGAACACAAATATTGTACGCTTCAGGAGACTCTGATTCTCTGGATGGTATTTTCTGCTTGATCCTGATGGTTTAGGATAGAAGAGCAGAGGGGCCTTAGTACCAGACAGGACTTAAAGTCACGGCACTTGCACTAGGGCGTGAGACAGGTAACTAACAACCAGTTAATTTAAGAACTTCTTCAAAATAATGTGCTGCCCCAACAAAATTTGTTCCATTATCACTGTATATTTTTTCGCAGTGACCTCTTCTCGCAGTAAATCTCCGGAAGGCTGCTGAGAACGAATCTGTCGTTATATCGCTTAACACTTCTAGGTGTATTGCCTTAGTGGAAAAACTGAGATATGGCCTCTATATGACTTGTGACCCCTTCCTTTAGTAGCTCTGATTTTGATAGAGCAGGCATAGTCTACTCCACTGTTAATGAACGGTGGGGATGCTGTGACTCTTGTGGCAGGTAATTGGTGTTCAGAAATTTTATAAAACTT